AATCTTTGAAGGTTTTAGCTGCTAAACTCTATAACTTAGCTGAATTTGGCCAAATTTTCATGGGGCAAAGGCACATCCATGACATAAAGAGTGTGCATGCACCCACTGCTGAATTTCAAGTCCCTATTCCAAAGTATGGAAATTTACCGAAAAAATTTCAGCCTGAGTCTGATAGCCAGCATAGAAAATTTCAGCCCAAATGGTTTGTTTGGCAGAGCTATAAGCTACTGAAAACAAGGTCTTATAATGGGAGGTGTTAGGCAACTTTAATAATAGGCAGTGCTATCAGTCTTTCCTATATTTCTTGTTGTTATCATTATAATATTAAAATTTGAAAAGGGTGAACATTAACTTCACTTCCATTATCTGTGAGTTCACACTAAAACTATTCCTGAGTTCCAAAATGTGTTTCCTTATCTGGATTTTCCCAAAACTTAAGAAGTTTGGATGTAGTTTTTTGACCTCCACTTTAGCAGGTACTTATAGTTAGGAGCGTGCTTATGTACCTTGTTGGATCAGGGCCTTGTTTTGCACCATCCGTAGTTCATATCCCCTGAGTTTCACTTTGAATTTTTGACTTCAAATTGTGAAACTCCAACTGAATATGCAATCAGAACTGCAAAGTCTCATCTGATTTTTGACGCAATAGCACAAGGTTAGCAGAGTTGCAAATTGGAGCCACAAATTGGCCTCTCAAATTGGCACTCTCAAAGTGCTTTTTTAAAAAAAAATGGGCTTAGTATCAAATGTATAGTGAAACTAGAAATCAGGTCAGTTTCCAGGGGTTTAAGGTTTCAATGTACATATAAGCTTTTCTTATTATGCAGCTCCAGGTCAGCACAGCTTTAATAGGAGGCTGAACCATGTATGTGGTGTTGAATTATCCCCTGGCATGTACTTCGAGTCAAGCTATGGTATATGTAGCATTTTCATCCCTAATCTTTCCCAATAAAGACTGATTGCTTCATCTCTGCTGTATTGTCACTCACATCAGCCTTACTCAAAAATTGCCTGAAAGTACAGTGCATTGCTGCTTTTCTTGCATTCACAGTGCTGGAAAAGAGCTATCAAGAATTTAGAGAAGTCTCTTGGTTCAGCCACCCAAACCTGTAATCCTGAGAGTTGGGCAGGTTGCTTGGGGTCCAAAGGAGCCAGTGTGAACCTTCGCTTCAAACTGAGTATGGTTCCAATCTGAGTCCTTCTTGGAGTAGGGGGTTTGAAAAATTTCAGTTAACTCATTTTCAGTTCCTTTTTCTTGTACATATGTACTTCAAGGGTGAAATCCTGATCCCATTGAAAGCAATGGCAAAACTGCAATTGACTTCCGTGGGACCAGGGTTTCACCCCAAGTTTCTCTTTGGGACCAAAATCTGGAATGCAAGAATACCATAATTAAGACTACTGTTTAGCCTGACTGGAAGCAGAATGTAGATCTTGCAAAAAAAAAACTATTCTAATGAGATTCTTATCTAATTGTGCAGACTTGAATGTTACAGAGATGACCTGAATAAGCACCAAGTGTCCAATTCACTAATGTTACTTCAGTTTTACTCCTGCGTAACTCCACTGAAATAAATAGTTTCACCAGTGTAAAACTGGAGTAATGCAGTGATGACTCAGGCCCAAATAACTTTTGTTTGCATAGGCAAACTGGGACTATTGAGGTTCACCTTCTGCTTCTATTTCTGTCTGTTTTGCATAGCTAGAGCATAAGTCCCAAGTGTGAATATATGTATGTATGTATATGTAGTTTAGTTGGATACTTTTGAGTTTTCACTCCATCTTCTTTATTTCCATCAGGGTGGAGTGAATGGCTTGACTGGAGAACTGGAATTTGCAGAAAATGGGGGGAATCCGAATGTCCATTTTGAAATTCTAGGGACCAATTATGGAGAAGATCTTGGCAGAGGCATCCGCAAGGTAAGACTAGATACATGGAATAAAAGTCTAATTTTTGCATGATTTACAGTGTGTTTTCTGTCCAAACAGCAAAGTATTTGATTGCAAATGATAAAACAGGTTATTAGACTGAAAGAAGAACACAAGTGGAAAAAAAGTCTTAAACTTCTGGGTAACCTTATGGTTCTTTATTGCAAGGAAGCATTACAATAGGTTATGTCTAACAGGGGAGTCTGATTTAATAATGCAGAATATGTTAACCTGTTGGTAGTCCTTCCCAAAAGAGCAGTGAAGCCTGTTCTGTAACAGCTACAACTGCTTTCCAAAACAGTAAGTTTTACACTGAAATGCTTACAGAGTAGCCAGTCGTACACTGCAAACTGCATAAGGTCTGAATGAGGCACTATGATTGTTAGATGAATAGAATTCATAGCTATAGAAACAGAAAACCTACTGCAAAATAAAGTATTATAGTACTTTAGTATCTCTGTTTTTCTTGTAATAAGCAGAGAATGATTTAGTAGAAATGACATTTTATACCATAGATCTCCGATAAGAACAGGTACTATGAGTACTAGACAGAAGGAGGCCTCATGAAATACCATGACTCAGATTTTCTTTAGGAGAATTGTTTCAGTCCCAAGAGAAATAATTTATCTTGGCACTTGGGTATTGCTACATTTCCTGCAGAGAAAACTGTCAGTGGGTAAAGATGGTATGAAAGATGATAGAGGTAAATCTTTGGTTGAGATGATGTTGGTATCTTGTTTTTAGGCAGTTTTCTTCCAAGTGATTTGAGGTGGTAAATATAGAGAGACCTACACAGTACCTCTTAGGCAAAATCAAGACTTCTTGGGAGCAGCTCTCATTCAACAATTCAAAAAAAAAAATTCTGATAGATAACATTGGGACTGCTTGCCATGTTGTACTGGTCCACTTTCTTATTTCACATAAGTGAGGGACATGAGGTGGCTAAGTTAGAGCAAGAGGATGGAGGAAAATGTTTTACTTTCAGTGTGAATAAAAAAGGGAATCTGGTCACATGTGAAAGTCAATGCGTGCTCAGCTATGTTGTTCACCTACATACATACTACGATGAAAGGCGCAATATGAACCCAGGAGAGGGGAGGTGTGTCCACAGTCCTGAAATACAACTACCTGCTTCTCTACCTGTTCCAGCAATGGAATTGTTATTCCATTCATGTTCTGTCAAGTTTTGTGCCATCATCTGTTGCTGATAACTTAATGTACACAATGTGTGCAGCCATATCACCTTGAACAGAGATTCTGTGGCTGGATCTTGTTGATACTTGGATGTGTCCTTGACAAAGACCCTGAGGACCAAACTATTGGACCTTTCCTTGTTCTCTGAATAATAACTTGAGTCTGATTTTAATATTTCTGAAATTTGTTTCATTTTATGTATTTAAAGAACTATTTAATTTTAAGAGCAACAGACTCATCTTTCCTCTGAACATACAGTTGTCTTTATTTAACTTAATTAGTCAACTTGGACTCTTTTGTAGCTGCAAGCATGTTTGCTTGAATATTGTGTTAAATTATGTTCTCTCTCAAAAAAAAGATAGAAAGGACCCAGAGACAGGCAGTGGAAATGAACAGATGCACAGAGAAACTTCTATATGATGAGAGATTTGAAAAGTTTGCTGCAGTTAAGTTTAGAGAGGAAACTCATAAGAATAGGCATAATAGATGTATACAAAATAATTAGCAGTGCAGAGATGAGCAGCTGGGTGTTCCTGTACTCTTTCTCATAATAGAAGGACAAGGAGACAGTCACTGACACTGAAAGGGAATGTATTTAAAGCTGGTCAAAGAAAATAATCTTTCTACCCAGGACAGAATTAACCTGTGAAACTTATTGTCACCAGATCCAGTTCTGACAAGGACCATAATAGGATTAAAAAGAGACATGGACATTTCGATGTTCTTCTTTTCAATGTATTTTGTGCGATGAACCTTTATAAGTAATATAAATCTCATTTGGTGTATAAGCCTAACTAGTATCTTCTTACAGTTTATAAGAAACTTCCCCTGTGGGCAAGTTACTTCATAAATGGTCCATCCTTACACTTTTCTCTGCAGCATATGATATTGACTGCTGTTAGACACAGAGTATTAGACTAGATGGACTGCTCTGGCATTTTCTATGATTCTCTGTAAATTTGATAATTATACTTGCAAAGGCCATTTAAAAAGCAATTACACTAATTCAATATAGATAAGGTAAAATAATATATTTATTAAATTATATATTTATATATTTTAATTGTCAAGCGATTTAAAATATCATCCTTTGATACCAGACCCTTACTACTTGGAGCTAGATTTGAGATAATATTTTCATGCGATACTGTCCAGATCACAACATTGCTCAGTTGATCGTTTGAGATTATTAACCAAAGTTCATATTTATTCTGATTTAACTTGACTAAAATTGTACTTAATGTCCTGTAAACAATGTGTCAGTGTTGAGTACACATCATGTTAATTAGAGGACTCAGATATCTGTGTCATCAGCACACTAATCAAAATCCACTTCATGTTTTCTTATAGAGGACCCTAATATATGCAGAAGCATATATTAGGAACCACCTAAAGCTTTGCATTTCCCTTTTACAATGGAAGCAAGTGCACATAGCAAGCTGACCGATATTTCTAAAAAGTGTATTCCATTTTTGGGAGCATTCCTTAATTAGCATGTTTTATGTAGTTGTAGAGAAGGCTGGAGGGTGAAATCATGGTAAATGTCCCATTGAGTTCAGTGGGGCCAGGATTTTCCAATAAATTAAGTGGGTGAAAATCAATGAGATTTAGGTGCCTACGTCATTTAAATGCCTTTGAAAATTTTACCCACCTTCAATTATTTATATCCATAGAAACTTCTTAAACTGTTCGCTTTAAAAAACCTTATAATGGCCTCCTGGCTTTCTAACAGACACATCAAACCATGTAGACACCATTCAGCAATTATTTCGTAGACGTATCCTCTACAAAACCTTAATGGGGCTGCTCTGTCATAACTAAAAATCAGTCACAACATTGAAAAGTTCATGTTCATGACAATGGAGTTTACTGTGTGAAGAGGCCTTCATCCTGAGAAGAGAAACACAGAAAGTTCCATTAATAAATGTAGCAACAGGGTTTTCTATCTACTCCTAAAGAGTTGTCTTCTGTGTACCACTTGGGATCTGTGAATACCACAGTCTAGCAAAGTCGTCCTGAGTAGATGTCCTACACACAGCACATGGCTTATAGGCTGGCAATGTCTGGTGCTTGGGATACAGTAGGCTGACCATTACTAGATACTGGATCAGTCAAAGCTAACATGGTATGAATGTCCTAAATGAGCTATAGAAGGACTCTTGCTTTTACACACAAAACTGTTGTTGGAACATGTGCTGTGATAGATATTTTGAACGGGAAACACTGTAGTATTTTTGACATTTGTCAGTTGGTATTTGACCTTTCTGAGAGTATGTATTTTTTGACATTTACTTTTCAGAATGAGGTGCTTTTATCTATACCACTGATATACAAGCTGCTATTCTTCTAAATAAGCAGCCAACAAACAAACAAATGAACAAAAGGAGGTTGAATACTGAGAGGAGAATTGTTTTGTGTGATATACAAAAAAGCTCTGCAGGAGAAAAATGTCTTGTGTTTCTCCCAGCATTCTTGTTATTCAAAACAGGTTCCAACTTATACTTCACAGATTCAAAGATATTATCTCTCCCAGTTCTTGAGAAAAGAAAAATTTTCGATTTGAATTATTTGCTGCCTAGGGTTATCTATAATGCCTTCTGTATTTTTGCCTGCACCTACAATTGTACGATCATTTACCTTCACCCTCCATACCTGCTCCTTGCACTATCCCATTCCTTTTTCCTGGCTACTCCTCTCATCACCTTTTCCCCCTTTTGGCTTTATACTGCTCCCTATGCATAAAACTGTCTCCCCATTTTTCACTCTCCACCCCTCAAAATCTTCCTTAAACTCCAGTTCTCCAGGCAGGGCCCCAATGTAGGGAGCATGTCAGAGGAATTCAAGGATGGGAAGGGGTCAGGAGGAGGCATGTTCCATAGGGATTGTGGAAGCAAGAAGCACAGGATAGAGCAACCCCAGAGCTACTTAACCTGAACCCAGGCCAGTTCCTCTGAGAGTGAAAGAATGCGAACACAGTGGCAAGATTTATTTTCACTAAGGATACATCTGTACTACAAATACCCAAGTTAGCTTTAATCTCATTAGCTAGAGTACTGGGGCAGTAACACTACGGCAGCACACATTTCTGTGTGGGCTAGCCCTATAAGCATCCAGATTCTAGACAGGCTTGTACAACGTACATGCTACTGCTTCTTCACAGATCTGGTACCTGAGCTAGCTAAATTAAAGCTAGCTTTGGTATGTCAACGCAAGCGGCAATCACACCCCATGATTGTAGTACCCTAATTGTGAAGGGCTACTACATCTACACTTGGACTGAGGTTTTTGATTCCCAGTGTTGTAAACATACTTGCACTAACACGCTAAAAATTATAGTGTAACTGTGGCAGCACTGGCTAGCCACTCAGAGTATGAACCCTCGGGATCAAGGACTAAATGTTAATGAATTAGAATGGCTTTTTGACGTTCAAACTGGGTTCTGGTTGAAGCCATTTCATTCACTCCTACGGTGGAGAGGTTTCAAGGTTTAGTATTGCCTGATCTGCAGACAGCACTGGTTCTGTAGGAACATAAAGGAGAAAAATAGACAATCAAAAGAGAAAAATAAAAAGAGAGTGTGGAAAGGTAAAATGTTTGTGTTGTAGACTGATCCAGACTGAACCGGGAAGATCAAGATGATGCTAATCAGAAGAGGTAAACACTTAAGAGCAACAGTACCTCACTCTCATTTTGAAAGCATATGGTCCCAGAAATTAAGTTCCTGTGCAGTCTTGGGATTATGAAAAACTCATAACTAAACCTGGAAAATACAATTGAGGTTGTTATGGAAGGTCCTT